AAAACAAAATGAACAAAAAGCCTGTTTTTGAAAGACCAGGAGCTGGAAAAGGCTCTGTGGGGAAGAGCTGCATTCCTGTTTCATATCCAAAATACCTTCCCTCAAGACTCATACTCAGTGGATTTCTAGACTATAAAAGGGGAAAATGTGGACATGTGGAGGACTATACCCTCCTCTTGTACCTGGCTATAGTCTGGTGATCCAGGGTGCCCTGCTGGACCCTGCTAAGGCACGGTGAAATACTGCAGCTGAACAACTCAGAGTTTGCATCTGTGAACCAGCAGCTGCACGTGTGGACACAAGAGGCAATAATAAAACGTCTAGAAGACTTTTCAGTGTCAGCTACATCAGTTTGTAGGCTGAGGAGGTTGCACTCTACTGTGTGGGATTTTTTCACTCATTCTCCTTCAGACATGGCAGGGGTGACCAGTTCACTGCAGCTGAGAGGAACTCTGTTGTATATATGAGAAAAAGAAGGGTATGCAGTTCTAGGATAGATATCACTTGGATTAATATTGAAAGTGCCACAGTCTTCAGATAGATTTTCTATTGCTTCCGGATTCAGCACCAAGAAGGCTCCACATATTTAACTAACCTCTGGGGTTCAAGAAAGAAACAAAGTCTTTTACTTGAGTGAGATTAACATTGTAATTACCAGTCTCTAAATTCCATATGAAATTATTGTAATTAGTTTTCATTTCTATCTAAAGACTGCCTGCTGCATATGTTCAGTACTGATTTACCTAATCACTGTTCAGAATAAAGCACTACAAAACTTGTGTCAAATGTCTGCAGTACATCCAGTGTCAATCTGTTGTCCTTCACTCAACCTCCAAGAAGATAGGAACAGAAATTGATAGATTCATTCAGGACATAGTTAAATATATGAAGAAATCAAATCTGTGACTGAATTGCCCTTTTGGACCACATGATAATAGCTGACAGTTAAGGAGTATGTTACTAGTTGGTCAATATATAGAATGAGTTCAATAATATATCTTCAAAGAAGGGGCCATTTTAACTGAGTATTCCTTGGTTCTTCAGATCTGAAAGAACTTAGAAAGAGAATTCTAAATGGGAACATGCAACCTTCTATACATATTCCTTTCTTCTCATACCAGAGAACAGCACAGTGCCTATTATGGATTTGGAGAGACTTCTGTTTTGGTTATTGATGTTCCCAAACCACAAGTAGCCTTTAGTCACAAAGATTAAGTGGTTTCACCAGTTGGCTTCTCTTTGTGAGCCTCTAATGGTCTCTGATATATCTTAATATCAGACAGTTAGTGAATACACTGGTTCACATCACTGAAGGCACTGAGGAGACAAACTCACCAAAACCAACAAGAGATGAGTCCTTGCAGGCATCTGGGGGTCTCTGCTGCTCTTCATCAGGCATTCTGATACATGGATAGAAGAATGCAATATGTAAGAATTCATTTCATTCTGTCTGAGAGGAAACAGCCTGCAGACATCTTTACTATCTCAATAGCTTCAGTGATAACTGAGTGTCTGGAAAACGTTTTATATGCCCCATCATTGTCTGATCTGTTTTGGAGGTTGGGGTTGTAGTTATCCAGAGGTGTCATCACTGTGGTGTGCACTGTTTCTCCCATGGGTCTGGGCACTGCACATGGGGCAGCTGAGCAGTCTGTACATAGGCAAGGTGGACTAGTTGCCTACAGTCTGTGCAGCTTCTCTGTGTCTCAGCACTTACTTGTGGTCTAGTAGTTGTAGGTATCCAGCAAGCCATATCACACTTTATTGCCAGTGCTGTGCTGGTCTGCTAGACTGATGAAAATCTCTGTTAGACTGCCTCATTTCTCTTTTTCTGCCTAGACAAGACTTACTGAAGGAGAAAAGCTGAGATATCACTCTCAGATTTTCCAGATCATGAAAATATTGCAGTGCAGGAGCCATTCAATCCAGCTCATATCCATCCATTTACATGCTGATCAGAACACTTAGTGCATTCACATATGTTCCCAGAGAGCTCCTTGTTGGTGCCTTTGCCAAGGAGGGCTATCCCATGAAAGCACACAGGAACACTGCCTCAGGCAGAGACCTGTCTGCCTCCACCTCCCGACTAACACTAAGGTACCCCAGCCTATGCAAGGCAAGCTGATATTTCAGATAAGAAGCTGTCTCAGTTTACAAAAGACCATGAAAAGCTCTGGTTCATTTTCCATATCTGCTTCTTCTCTCTGCTTTTGGAAAATAATTCTTATTTCCTACTAGCAAGTGCAGACTAGACAAATATTTAGTCTTGCTTTGTTAAGCTGCTAATCATCATGAATTTTAGCTTTTACTAATGGTATCTTAGATGATCTGATATACTAACACCTAGCAAGTGAGTTCAGATAAGGTGTTAGGCTTATGACATAGCCCAGTTTGAAGGAACCAAGTGTGAATGGAAACCAACGAGCAACAACACAAATAGGCCCAAATAGCCACGGAGGGCCAGAAAGTACAGTTGCAGGTAGAGCTGTGATGTAACCTGTCTCTGTGAACCCCTTGAAGCCAGCAGGCCAGCTTCATGCTTTTGGTATAATGGACATCATACAGCCAAAAAGGAAGGTTATGCCATAATCCCTGTTCCATTCAGCAATTGGATTTGAGTGTACTAGTCCTGTTTCCTAGACCCTTCCAGTCCTATGGGAATTTAGAAGTCCTAATGTAAAACCTATTCAACTTGCAGCATGTGAGAAGGAAATATCAGAACAGCTCCTGCTAATGTGAAAAATACCATTACAAGGTACTGTACTGTTCCACCCATTCTGGCCTCTGGGCTGTGGGCAAGAAATTGCATGGGAGGACATGGGAAAACCTGTGTGGGAGCTTGTGTACAGAAATGTATTTGTACTGAAGGGCGTTGGCTGTGACGGAGAAAGTGAGCATAAGCGAGGACTTGCTCAGATCACCAAGCTACTCCACCTCACCTTTCAACACAGCATTACTATCCAATGATGGGTAAATGGCCTGATGGAAAAAAGCAAGCCACAGCTGGCTTTTGCAGGCAGTTGCAAACTACAGTGTGATGCAGTCTAGTCATCTCATCACTTGCTTAGCTGCACAGTCATTGCCCACTTCCTGTTCCCAGCACTTTATAGAAGAGAACTGGTACATCTAAATGTTTTGCAGTAGCAGGAATTGTTTTGGGGGATGAGCAGCTGGTTTTGAAACTTGAAAAACTCTGCACACAAGCGATTGGCCTGGCTGGAACAGCAGTGCAGTTTGGAACCTCGGATATTTTACAAGAGCAAGTGTAGAGTCCTACACCTGGAGAGCAATGAGTACAGGTACCAGTACGGGTTAGGGGCTGAGCTGCTGGTGAGGAGCTCTGCAGAGAACCTCAGTGTCCTGGTCGGCAACAGGTTGGCCATGAGCCAGCAGCACACCTTTGTGGCCCAGAAGGCCAAAGGTATCCTGGGGTGCATTAAGAAGTGTGCGGCCAGCAGGTTGAGGGAGGCGATCCTCTGCTCTGGTGAAGCCGCATCTGGAGTACTGTGTCCATGTCTGGGCTCCTCAGTTCGAGAAAGTCAGAGAGTTACTGGGGAGAGAGTCCAGCAGAAGGCCACAAAGATGACTGGGGTCCTGGATCATCTCCCTTATGAGACAAGATTGAGAAACCTTGGACTGTTCAGCCTGGAGAAGAGAAGCTGAAAGGAGATCATATCAGTGATTACAAATACTTAAAGGGCAGAAGTCAAGTGAATGGGGCCATGAGCAAAAGTCCTATACCAACAAGAGGAAGTACTTCTCTACCTCGAGTGTGACAAAGCACTTGAACAGGCTGCCTGAAGAGGTTGTGGAGTCTCCTTCTCTGGAAACACTCAAAACGTGCCTGGATGCTTTCCTGTGCAACCTGCTCAAGGGAGCTTCTGTAGCAGTGAGTTGGACTCAAAGATCTCCAGAGGTCTCTTCCAACCTTTTCTATTCCTAATGGCCTAGAAAGGTCAGAATTTGCACATATGGTACAATGTTCTGAGGCAAAGTAGTGAAGCAGATTGCAAACAAGTTCTAAGGGGATATACAGAGCAAATCAGAGAAATGAGTGGAGGAATGATGTCAGTATAAGAAGCAGGGAGAAAGCACAGTTTGGAAGAAGTAAAGTAGTGAAAGGTATTAAAAAAAGGCATTGAAAAATGGCTAGGACTCATAAAAGCAGCAGAAGAAAAGATGGAGAATGAAATGGGAAAGGCAATATACAGAAAGAAAGAAAAAGATAGAGGCATAAGCAAATGACTAAAAGTCTTTAGAAATACATGGAAAGGAAAAGCAAACAACAAAGTGAATGCAAAGGGAACAGAAAAGAAGTGAAAAGGAGGAATATATTACTGAAGAGATCTGATACTGTGTGCAGCTTTGTGCTTTCCATCTCTTTCTTTGCATCTCACTGCATGCTGGGGACATCACACCACGTGATAAGCCTCTCTTGGACTCTTATTCTTAGCTCCAGTGATTTAAAGGAATACCCCCTGGGTGGGGATTCCTGTTACAGATCAAGGAAATCTTCTTACTCTAATTAAAACTCTTCCTCATGCAGAAAGCTGGCTCTGTACCTGAACAAATACTTACTACCTGTAGGCAACATAAAACTCATGCATTTCTTATTCATTTGCTGTATCTCTGCAAGCTAGCTCAGCTCTGAATTAGGGATCTCTAAATCCTAGCAAGAAGCCTGCACACTCCAGTGTCCAAGTCCTGACACCACCAAATTCAAAAGGAACTACACACAGCACTACAGCCATGGATCTCCAGTGTTAATGCTGTTTTACAGCTAAGGATGACTTGGCTTTGCAGTCAGGAGATGTTTTTAGGAGCCTCCCACCAAACTAGTTGGGCAGCTTTGAGAGAAGTGCTGTTAGCACATTGCTAGATATAGGTTTCCTGGTCTCCTGCAGGAAACTGCATGATGACATTTGCATGAAATTACAACGTGCTGCCTTTATCAACAATTGGCTAGAGACCGAATTTTCCCACAAGAGAGTGGAAGAAATTTGTAATAGAGTATACACGGGAAGGTGCTCCAGAGCTCAGCTGTTGTGTTCCTCATTTAACCTCTTTGGGCAAGAAGGTAATCATTATTTTTTTACTCAAAAATAACTTGTCTTCTTTTTTTTTTTTTTTTTTTTTTTTTTGGGAGATCCAAATCAGCCTAAAAGTTGATAAAGTAAACTTCATGTTTACAGATGGGGCAAAGGGGGAGGTACTTTCACAGGCTGGACAATGCAAAAGACACTGCTAAAATTTGGGTGGTCTTCAGGGAAGTGGTCTTCTCTAGGGTGAAGCTGGGAATTTAGGAACACGGGCCCAAAGCTATGGATCCAAAGATGCCTGCCTAAATTCCCCAGACTTTTGACTGAAATTTCCCTAGGTCCTCTCTGCCTGCTTGGAAAGCTACAACTGCCACAGAGTGAGCAGTTTATATCACATGCAGATGCTTTTCTGCCTACATCTCCAGAAGGGTCAAAGGGCTGTTTTAGAACAGCCCAACTCTAAAAAAAACGGGCTTTATGAAGAGCAATGATGCAGATCATCTGGGTAATTAGTATTAACCAAGAATTAATAGAAACAGGTTAATTTTACTTCTTCACTCGGGTTTCCATGGCACAAGGAAAAGCCTTGAAATGTTCACTAGACAAGAGAGGGCATGCACCTCTTTGGTTGCGTGCTTGGGTGTTTCCTCTGCACCCTGGTTTCTGCTGCCAGGATTGTTTATGTTCTTAACAATAGGAAGGGTGGAGTATTCTTCAAATTTTGTTTTGGTAATGAGGATGCTTCACTATCAACATATTTGCTCCTGGCTTTGGCAGTGGTGTTCAAAAATTTGCTGAGAAGTTTATGTAACTACACATTGGCATAACAAATAGCTTGCTACTGTATGGCCAGTATACATCCCTCTCTGTTCAAGTAGGAATAATCAGCCTAGAAAGAAGCAGAAAAGATACATCCTGGAGGTACTGATGCAAAATAATAGAACCAGTCAGGAAAAGCCCTTTCCTGTATAAAACCAGCAGCATGAGGGGCTAAGTTGCTTGGGAGATGGACTTAGCAACATTTCTCTTGTAAAGATATTTTGCACTGAAATGTATTGGGTTTTAACTTAAAGCACATTGCTTTAGAAATGCTTTGTGTTGCATGGGGAAAATTATAATTTCTGTGTTAAAGGAAATTTCATTTTTCTTATGTGTTGCATCCCTTTAACTCCAAAATGCCACAGAAACACTTCGAGAAGTTTTCGTATGAGTGGTCATGAAAAATAAGAAATTAACTTCTACCACCTATAGATTTTTCATGTCAGGACCCTGTATTATCTGTCGCATTCTCCTTTTCAAGGACAGACACATATCATTTCTGCCAATTCTCTCTTTCTTTGCTTACTAGAAATAAATGTACATTAAGGCACTTAAATGAGAAGAGTAAGTATGCAATCGGAATTAGCATGCAGTATCAGGGAAAACAGGTTCCTTCTTGCTTTCCCTTTCTACATATAGAATTGCCTTACAAACCAGGATACCACTCTTCCAGCATCCACATCTTATTGACTGCCTCCTCCCTCTGACTGCATAATGCAACATACTACATCTATTAATTACGGTAGCTTTAAGTGCAGCTTCTCATTCTTTGAGAAATTTTGCCTTGATTTCATCTTTAGCCTAAAACAAGCTCTACAGAGAGAACGAAGCATGAATAGCTATAGAAAAGGAGCATTTTTCACTTCACAGAGCCATGGAAACAATTTGTTATCTTTACAAGGCTTCTGGTATAGAGTGGTTTCTCCAGAAAGAGGCTCTTTTCCTGGGTAGCTCCTTGCTCACATATAACAACACTCCAGACTGTGTTAACAGATACTGAGCCATCATGCAAAACATTCCCTTCATCAGCCATAAAACCACAGCCCTGCTTGCTGCCTCTGCACAATTGCTAATGTTCTGTGCAAACAGTATGTCTGGGGCAGAACAACAGCTGTGATCTTCCTGGAACACTTCTTTTGATCTTATATTTTCTCTCCTTCCCACTCCAAGATCTTTTAAAAGTACCATTTCCAGTTGTTGTTCAACATCTAGATGTTCTCCAAGCTACTCTGTCCATGTGGTGGCTCCTAAACTCTCACCAACAAATGATTACAGAGATCATAAGCATGGCTTAACGATGTGGAATCATACCTACACATACTCCCTCCCCAAATATCCATTAAGAAAGTTCACTAAATCCTTTGGTTCCCTAGTAAAAAAGTTCCTTCTCCAGCCCATGCCCCTTCTCTCTCCACTGTTGCTTTGCATTTCCGGGGCAGCCCTGTAAATAGCTCACATGAAGCCCTGGAATTGGGAGTAGTGGCTGTACCTGGATATCACTCTGAAGACAGTCTGATGCTTTTTCTATAGGCATGGACACCTCTGTATGCCAGATGTTTGCATTTAAAACCTGCTTCCAGCTCTTATGCTCTCTCGTTTTTGTGCTTGGTTCTTTCCCTGTGGGTTGGGGTGGAGGTGCCTCCCTTCTGATGAGGAAGTTCATTAGCTCCTGTTGTCTCCCCGATGCTTTCTGAGGTCTGGACACACCTACAACATGCATACTGACCTACATTCATAGTAAACAACTTCTCAGATCCATTTTAGATCTTTCACCAGCTAAAGGTGGAGCAAAACAAACTTTAACACGAAATAAGCGCTGAGTTTTGTTTTCAGAAGGTTGTGAATAATAGCTAACAAGGGTGGAAGAAAAGAGAAATGATTACTGCAATGTGTCTTTCTTGTGGTAAGATGACTGCCCATTTATGTCAGCCCTTCATATGAAGTACTACTGGACTTCAAGGTGAAACAAGTGTCTTAGAATGAAACACATGAACTTTTTATTTCAAGCTAGGTAAAAGGAAAGAAATGCCTGCACTCACCACATATCAGCCCCTTCATATATTCAGCAACTTGACTTTCCTGTCAATCTATCTTAGGCTAAGCCTTTTTTCTTGTGGGCTGAGTTAATTCCCATTGTCTGGCACTTGCTGCAAGCTAAGCTGCTTACACAGACAACTTGCTGCACTTCAGTCATAGCAACTTCTTACATCCTGGTAACTTTTTGTGCCTGAGCCCCTGCTTCTCATGCAAAGTTCCTGCCTGTCTCATACCTGAATGAGATGCAGAGTGTGCTCTGCATCCTTGCAGTCCATGCAGGACACTGAGTAGTTCTTGTCCTAAAATAGGCTGAAAGCTAGAGCCACCATGATCTGAGTACTTTCTTTCCACACTGTGCTGTGCATTTTCCCCTAAATAAAATATCTTTCTGGAACACAGGCCACAGTAACTTATGTCTGCAAACAGCCAAGAGCATATGCTTTGTTTTTCTTACATTTGTTCCGGTGTGCTGTCCAGAACATCCCTTGTTTGATGCTAAAATTGACATGGTTTTTTTTTAATGGTATAATATTTAGAGAAAAGCTTGAGTACTTCACTGCTATCCACACAAGAGCTTTACAGTTATTTCCCTAAAGAACTGATAAGGGCTTCTTAAAAGCCCATTTTTTTTTCAGATTACATTCTTCATGAAAAGACCAAGCTAAAACTTTGTCCCAAATTCTTCTTACTGGAGTGGATTTAATGATCCACAGGAAAGGCATCAGACTGTTGTATTTCCAGTACAAGAGAAAAGAATGAGACAGATCTTGTCCTACCATTGAACAGGAAGCTTGCAGGCTTTCTGGGGCTGCTGAGCTATTGCTCTGTTGGGAAATTACGATGGTTTATACGTTCTGACTCAGGGGTTCCTATCAAATCAATGAGGAGACATGAAGTATACTGCAAACTGTTCATGTTTCCACAGACACCATAGCTGTTTACATTCCTTCTTCATACATGAAAATAATTACTAGCAATTTTATTTTAATAAACCTCTTGTTTGAATCCTTCACACCACAGCTCAGATTTCCAGATGTAGTTAGATGCCTGTGTAGTTTCTGTCACCCTGGTCTATCACTAATCGTGTTGTTACAAGAGGAAAGGGTTGATACGATGACATACGTTAAACTAGTTTGTAGAAGGAAATCCACAGCTGACTGATTCGAATACCACAACCTTTTGCTTACAGTAAGAACAAGTAAGTTGGACCATGGGAAACTCTCTTTTGGAAGAAATCAGATACATTGTGTGATAAGACAGAAAAACAATTCTTTCTAAGGAATTCCCATATGGTATGAGTATTGGGGCCCCTTTCCAGATCCTGCAGTATCCACGTGAATTGACAGATGTGTGCAAAACTGGCTATTTCAAACTCAGAATTCAGCACATTTCTATTATTTAACAACCAACTGTGGGATAATTTAGGGCAGAGAGATATTTCGCAGTGTGACACAGCTAAGCAATCAACTGATTCATATTTCTCCTTTCCCTTTTTGCTCCCAGTAAGCTGCAGGCTTCACAATGGGCTCCATTTCTAGAATGATTACTGAGTTTAGCCTTGATCTCTACAATAAAGTCAACAGAACCACAGAATGCCAAAACATTGTCTTCTCTCCAATGAGCATCTCTACCTCCCTGGGCCTAATCCTTTTAGGGGCACGAAACAACACAGCCACTCAGATAGAAAATGTAAGTACTGATGAAACGTTCTGAGATGCTTCCACACAGCTTGCTGTTTCCCCAGTGGCAATGCTGGGCTTTGCAGCACAACATGTGCACTTAGGAAACAAGGATAAACACAAGCTCAGCTGCTGCCTTGAGAACAGTGTTTGGTGTGCTGTGATATCCCTGCTCCTTTATCACTTGTGACATCCAAATGATACAAAACATCTCACCTACAGAGCACACAGGGCCTGGGGGTACAGGGAGGGCATGCAGAAGTCTGTTCCTCTGGTCACTACACCTTTTACTCCCTGCAGCATAAGCTGCATGTTCTGAGATCTTTATTTCTTTTCTTATTTGTTTCTGAGAGCAATAAGCGACCAATTCTCCTAAGGTACATGTAGCATAAGACAGTAGCCAGCTCCAGCTGTATCCTGGTAGATCTTCATCCATCATGTTACAATACTGCCATAGGTCAGCTGCTGCCAAGGGAGATGCATTCTCCTTATGCAGTTCTGAGGGACTCTTGCTTAGTTTAAGAAAGCAAAGGAGATCAAGCACTCTCAAAAAAAGAGCTTAAGTGTTTGTATACTTCAACAATATCACTATGGAGAAGCATTCCAAAATTTTTCAGTGAGATATCTGCACACTGGAAACAAGGTTCAATTTCCATCAAGAGCACTATGACTTTGATACATTTCCTGAGCTGATACAAATATTAAGAATGATTGCATAAAGCTAGTTTTGATGCTTGCAAGCAAAATATTTTTGCCTCTTTGCCTGAAGTAACTTTTCATTTTGAAATTTAAGGCAACTATAGCAATAAAAATACAAATCAAATACAAAAAATATTGAGGTACTGGAAGGTAGCATTTTGGGGGACTAAAAGTTTTTCTTGGTTCACTAATATAGGAATGTGAATTTGAATATGGATATTGGACAAATTCAATTCTGACCTTCCAGTCTGAGTGCAGCTGAGAAAGTATGAAGGGAAAATACACAAAGAGAGCTTATAGGCAGGAGGAGGACCTTTTTACCAACTTTTTACAGTCTGATAGTGGTGGAACAAGGGGGAATGGCTTCAAGCTAAAAGAGAGGAAACTTAGGTGAGATGTTAGGCATATATTCTTCACACAGAGGGTGGTGAGGCACTGGCACAGGCTTCCAGAGAAGCTGTGGTGCTCCATCCCTAGATGCTCCAGGCCAGATTGGATGGGGCCCTGGGCAGCCCGAGCTGGTGGTGGCAGCCCTGCCTACAGCACTGGGTTGGGACTGGGTGGGCTTTGAGGTCCCTTCCAACCCAAACCTTTCTATGACATCTTTAATAAATCTACATCATTTATCCAGTAAATCCAGTAAATCTTTCAAACAAGGAGAACGCCTTTATCCCAGTTAAAGAGTTTGACCTCTTCAACTGCAGGTTCTCCACGTCACCAATGCTGCAGGAAATACAAGCCTTGAATCTGAACTTGAAGGTGCAGTCCCAGAAAACAAGTCTGAACTAAGCCAGGAAAGAGAATCTTCCTCCTCTCTGGTATGTCTTCCGTAGTACAAGAGCCTTTCTTTCACTCCACCATAGCCTTCTAGTTGTAAAACACCACAGTCTGCCACTGGAGGGAGTCAAGATCCCATGCACAACGTCTGCCTGGTCCACTGTGCCTCATAGAAGGTGTTATCTGGTTATCGGCCAAGTCTTCCATACAGTCAAGTCCGAAGCCCACACCAGAAGGAAGATCAGGCAACAAAGGCTACAAAGCTTAGATTAACTGAATTTAAATATAATTACAATGGCAGCTAGCCCTACATTGCAATCTAATGAGGATGCAAATTAACAACCAAAGCTATACTGAGGAATCTTTGTAACTGGTGTATTTGAAATATTCCTAGTGTAACACAGATGGGAATCTTAACCATGAAGCATTCCATGCACTGCTTTTACAACTACAAAACCTTGGTAAAGACTACGCTTTAAGCCTGGCTAACAACCTCTTTATCCAACAAGGATTTGAACCGAATCAGGTAAGAGAACTGAACCTTGTAACCTCTGTGGCACTGACCCCCAGCTTTCCAGTAAGCATATGCACCACTCTTGTCCCTTCATGTGTATTTTTGAGTTTTGGAGGTGCTTCTTGGAGCCGTATCTCTTGTGGTTGCTGGGAAAGAGACACAAGTATCAGCTTTAATTATTTATGTTTTAAAAAAAAAAAAAATAAATAAAATAAAGACCTTTCACTTTTGACATGTCTACATTCAGCCAGAAGTGTGGTTATAGCAAAAAATGGCCTATTCAAGCTGTCTGCAAGCTGCCTCTGGGATCTCTCTCTATTTACAGCTTTGCATTGCTGGTTTTCTTTTCCTCTTTTGTTTTATTTAGTCAAGACCACCCTCATAATTTCTGAAACATTTCTGAATTGTTGACTTCACTGTAAAGAGAATAAGCTCTGAACAAGTTTGGCTAATCCACAATCTTTATTCTGCTTTACAGAAGTATCTAACATGCAGTAAGGAACTATACAGAGCAGCCCTTGAAACACTGGACTTTCAAAGGGCTCTTGAAGCAAGCAGGCTAAAAATTAATGATTGGGTTGAAAGCGAGACACAAGGTAAAACAAAGCAGAACTGTAGCTGTGCTATCTTCTCCCTCTTCCAGTGCTCCTTCAAAAAGAATTCAGCATACGATAAGCCTTGTTCATGTTTCTCAGTTTCTTATGCCTTTCAAAGATTGCTTTTCCCATTCATTCCTTAGAGTCATCTATCAGCTAAACTATTTTGTTGTTGCATACGGCCATACTCCTACCCACACACCTAGCAAGATAGCTGCAACAGTACCTTTAAGGGTTAATTAGATTAATTGCTTTTGCAAATAGCCAACGCTGCAGGTACAGGAAAGTGGGGGATGGAAGTTATGAGCTTCACAGTGGGTCTGGGAACAGCATAGCAGAGAGAGCAGACACCTCAGGACCTGGTCATACACAGAGCAATGTTAACGAAGATGAGTGATGTGCCCTCTAGCGAAATTCACTATTACAACTAACAACCAACCAGCTCTTGCCCTTTACAGGCACATAGGGGTCATTGGCTTTTTTTCCTGATTAAACTGAACATGAAATATGCCACTTCAATTTTGTCAGAGCTGCAACATCAGCAGGGTGAAAATCTTATAAATTTTCCATGTGAACTTAAGCCAGAACTTAGTGAGGGATGGATGAATAGATTTGAAGGCTCCTGATTTCTTAGTGGTCATATCCTGACCAAACCTATCCTTGGGCTGACAGAGCAGCTTGTGACTAACTTGGGAAAGAGCTGAAACCACCATTGCTGTGTGCCTGTTTAAAGCCTCTGCACTTGGGAAATCCTACCTCAACCTCTGTACAGGAAAAAAACTGTAAAGGGACAGACGCCCTCATGTAAACTGAAACAGAGGATTAATGGTGCTGCCCTTTTCACTGTGGACAGGTGTCACCTGGCACATTCATTTTGCCACTGTGGGCTAATTCGATGACCCTGTGCCCCTTCCTCTCCCAAACAGGCCAGCACTAGGTAACTGTGCTGAGAAATTTGCTATTTCTTCACTTGTATTGTCCCTGTTCTGTGAAGAAACAAAGAGTTGGATTTCTATTGTATTTTAAAGCTAAGTTCACAGACAAGTAATTGAGTCTCAATCCAGAGTCTTAATAACAACTAATAAATACCTCTGTTTTCCAAAATTTCCTCCAGGTAAAATCAAGGAACTTTTTGCTCCAGGAGTGATTGACTCACACGCCATTCTGGTGCTGGTGAATGTGATCTACTTCAAAGCATCCTGGGAACACAAGTTTGAGGAGAAAAATACAGTACAGAGAGATTTTAAACTGAATCAGGTATATATGCATTCTTTAAGTCTTAGCATGATTTACCCTAGAATAAACATAATACAGAAATGCAAAACTGGGGCTTTCAGCTGTGCTGTGAGAAAGGCATGGGTGTGCTGGGAACCAAACCTTTTCCTCCTGTTGGGTAGAGATAGCAGGAAAGCTTTTCCAAGAAAACCATAATCCTTACTGGAAAGGAAATGTGCAAGTCTCAGAAGCTGCAACAACTCAGCATTTTGTTTCAGTAGCTGGCAAACCCAAAGCATTAGCCCTGATCAGCACTTTTGAACCTAACAGTCACTAAGGGCAGTTGTCATGGATAGAAGCCAACTGCAAAGATCTAATTTCACACAGGCCCTATGGTGCCATCCTGGATTTTATGCATCCCATACATTTTAGCATGAGCTTTGCAACAGATGGGTTAAGCCAAACCAACTAAAAAATGAAGCCAGATATTAACAAGCCACATGCATGAAAATGGAATTTCAAACAGGAAAAATCCTCACAGAGTATTTTGGTTTATTTCTAGTATTTGCAATGCTTAAAATATATATATTTTTAATGTTTTAATTTTTATTCCTTTTTCCCACCATACTTATAAAATTGAAGTTCTCATTGCTTAACCAAGATACAGTCAACATAGCTGCAAAAAGTTCTTTAACAACCACATTAATCCAAGCTCTGTACAGCTTAAGTCTAACAAATATCCTCAAAAAAGATGATCAAAACCGTTTTATTTCATTTAATACAGTTTTGTCTTCATTCCATATGCTTTGCCTACGTTACATTAAAGAATGAAACCACCAAATAAAATGAACCCACAAAGAATACAGATTTAGCTCTGATCTGAAGTTAAAGAGCTCTGTATAGGAAAAACTGACTTCTAAGTGTTTCTTATCTATCAAAAGAAAAGGTCAGAATGACATATGTTGCTAGTTATAGTGTTGTATGACAATTATTTAAGACATAGGTAAGAAAGTGTAATTTTGGTCCCTTCAGTTTTTGACTTCAAATATATGTCTTTGAATATGAACACTGAAAATGGACTACAGGTAGTAACATTTGGAGCACTGCTGCAGTCACAGAAACTGAGATAGGAAGAATCTGCATATACTTTTCTCCATGCACTTATTAATGCTGTTCTCTACTAAAATTCTTCTGCTGATTTAGCAAGTAAGAAGTTAGCTAACAGTGAAACGAATCTTGAGCACCTACACAAGATTTGAACAAACTTACCACAAAGCAAAGCAAGGATTAGAAGACCTAGAAGAACATGCCTGAGATAGAGTGGTTATCATTTTGCTCTTACTCTCTCTGTTGCTCCCTGCCTGAAACATCTACCTGATAAATGACAACCTGATTACTGCAGTTCTACTACTACTTTATTCCATTCCAAACCAGAGAATGCAAATTTCATCAGCACCAGTTTGTTTGGCTGCAGAGTAATGGCATTAAACCATTTCACTATCTGATTAGTTGCAGGGAAATTCATTTTATTTTGTCCCCCAGAGAATTATCCCCTTTACACGTGAATGGCAAAACTTATGTTCTATGTCTCACTGTATGAGCAACAAAATAAAGAAAAATATTTAGCTTCATAACAATTACTGCTGATACTGCACCTGAAGTTTAAACATTAAGGACTGTATTGCTTATGTGATCATTCCAATTTCTTTTAAATAGAATGAGAGAAAGCCAGTGCAGATGATGTATCAGAAAGGCACGTTTAAATTAGGCTATATTGAGGAGCTGGGAACTCAGGTGCTTGAACTCCCTTATGCTCAGAAGTCGCTGAGCATGATCATCCTGCTGCCAGGAGGCACGGCAGATGGATCTACCACTGGGCTGGAACAGGTAAGGCTCAGGACTGTGGCTACAACAGACTGAAAGCTGGTTGTCTGAGTTGAAGCTGGGCAAAAATCTAAACTTGTTAATCCCCCCATCTTCTAGACTGAAAGCACAATGACCTATGAGAATTTAATGCTGTGGTTCTCTTCTGAACACATGTTTGAGACAACGGTAGAGGTGTACCTGCCCCGATTCAAGCTTGAAGACACCTTTAACCTCAATGAGGTACTAAAAGCAATGGGAATGACCGACATCTTCACTGAATCCAAAGCTGATCTTTCTGCACTGTCATCTGGGGAATCCCTGGTGTTGTCAAACATTGTCCATAAGGCTTATGTGGAAGTCAATGAGGAGGGCACTACAGCAGCAGCTGCTACAGGAGCTACCATTGTGAGGAGATCCCTCCCCCTCATAGAGGTGTTTATGGCTGACCATCCTTTCTTATTCTTTATTAGGCACAACCCCACTAATGCCATTCTTTTCTTTGGTAAATTCTGCTCACCTTAAAAATCAGGGCCACCTTCTAGCATTGAGATAAAAAACCTGGATGACAAGCACAAATACTGTTTTTCCCCCTACACCTTCTAAACCCTATGAATGATTGTAGACCAAAGTAATCACTGCAACCAATTTAGCTTAGAACCATCAATTGAACACCCTCCTGTTATGAGGCCTCCTTGAAAGGCAAATATTGATCTGAATCCAAAACAGGAGTACGCTTTCCTTTAACCTGACTGGATATCAGGAACATTTTGTTTCCTCAAGGCGTACATACTCTCCTGTATAGCCTACAGTTCTCTAGCATAGCCATGTAATGTAGTACACTATTTGCCTGGCAAAGGTGGAATTTGTGTGCTGCTACTTGAGGAGAACTGTTTGTAACAATTTTCAGTAACTGTCAGTAAAACTGGAGTATTTTTATTTTCTATGGAGTTTCTGACTTCCTGCCAGGTGGGTCTAGCAGAAAGGGGCTTTGGAGATGCTTTATACTTACACATACTCTATTTGTGGCAAATCCTTTGCACAGTGGAGATCTCACTTTAATAACTCTTTCCAGTAGCAGCAGTCACAAGCAAGCAGAAAATAATTATTTACAGCAAACTCATGTATTCACTGACAACTGTACAACTTCCCCCTCCCCCCCCCCATGATGTATGCTGGATCTATCCTTGTGCTATATAAAAAGTTTGTGCTAGAAGCAGCTTTGGTTTCATATGTTTATTTAGATATAAGCCTGCATCTGCAGTACCATCTCATTCATCAACTGGAAGATGGATAGAATATGACACGTACCCCTTTCACAAACTCTTGATTTTTTTCCACAAGTTTTGTTCGCAGTGCTCAGTTTTGAGTGCTGTATTTTTTTTTATGGTAGCAACAGTAGGAACACTCAATATTATGCCTCACGAACACACCTAGTAAGAGAGTTGATTACAACAGCAATGGAGTATGTGGGAAGGCAAGATTTTGACCCTCTTTTTACAGGACTTCTTGGCATTCGTTTTTGAAAAATAAACCCACCCTTAAAGAATCACAGCGTGGTTGATGTTGCAAGGGACCTCAGGAGGACATCTTGCCTAACTCACCTGCTCAGGTAGAGTTACCTACAGCACACTGCCCAGGATCACATCCAGAGGACTTTTGAGAATCTCCAAGCACAGAGACTTCACAACCTCTCTGGACAGCCTTTTCTAAGTTCCCACAATTTTGAACAACACCAAAGAGAACTTTGTATTCATAACGTCTGCAGGAATGGGATGTGAAAACATTTCTTTCTAAAGATTACTTACATAGTGGAGAATCGGTTTTCTTCCTTGAGTTCTGCTTTCCGGGGAAGCTTAATGATCTGAGATGTATTTATACAGTACACGTCTCTCCAGTCCTGAGGAATGAAGAAAAAGTTTTGAGAAGGGCAATGTAAGCAATAGAAATCAGTCAAACATTACATGGAAAAATGTTTTTGTCTGTGAGACAATCAGAGAAAAACAGAATTAGCAGCTGACTGACAGACATAACTGTTAAGCTGCTGGTTTAACATGAGCAATATCTCCTTCATGGAGTTCTATGTGAGGTTTAACTAACATTTGCAACTTGCGCTTTGTGACCTATAGAAAGACAAGTATACATTAGCCATTACTCATATAATTGAGTGTAAAGCTCCATAAAGTAATTAGCAATTAGCACAGTTTATGTACCAAAAGTTACCTGGGGCTCTTTGGATAAGAAAGTCTAGGCATGATGTTCAAGCAAGAACAGGCAGGAGTAGGATAACAATATTCGAAGAACTTACTCTTATTGTCTGATCTGGAGGCATCGTACAGCATAAGCAGTACTTCTCTAAATTGTGACCATGTTTCCATTCTGAAGGCTGACAGCACAGACTGCCTACTAAGCTATGTTTTCATTACCTCCAGGTGTCATTAGTTGGTATTTACATATCCTGGGGAAGTTCTGAGTACCACAACTTCAAACATCAATCCTACTTCTGCAACAACAGGAATAGAGATTTCTGTGATGGAGAGTTGAGTAATGCAATGTATTGCTCCAGTTATTGGAGGAGATGGCTCATGATATATCTAGAGTGAAATTAAGACACAAACATTGTTCAACTAGTTTATTATAAATTCTAAGTTAAGGAATGTGGGAAAGATGGCAAAGCTAGCAACAATAAAGGTAGGAATTCTAACAAACTGGCTATAGAGGAGGAATAGTCACCACTATGGATCTAGCAGTGTACTTCATTGGCCTGCAGGCCAGTCAGAGACATCTCACTGATCTGCACAGCTGCAGTTCAATGGAGAATTTTCTGTGTTCTACCACTGAACTCCTCAGGTTTTATCCTCTTCATTCTGCTCTCATGCACCTCCAGTTGCTCAGAACCAATGGCACATTCACCTCCTCCGGGTGAGCAGCTGTTGACTGTGTAGCAATCACACACCTGCCACCTGGCAGGCTGTTGGGCATGTGTACTGACTTAATGGAAGGGAACTTTCAAGGACATCTAGTCCACCTCCCTTCCACTGAACAGGTACCTACAGTTAGATCAAGTTATTCAGAGCCCCATTCAGCCTCCTCAGTGTCTCAGGGGAAAGGGCTTCTACCACATCTCACAGCAGCATGTTCCAGTGCCTCACAATCCTGACTGTAAAGGAGTTTTTCTTTATATCCAAGCCAAATATCCATTCTTTTAGTTTGAAGTTATTTCCTCTTGCCCTGTTACAACAGACCTTACTAAAGAATCCATCTCCTTCCTTCTTGGAGCTCCCTTTGGATACTGAAAGGTCCTTCTCTGGTCAACAGACTAAGCAGCACCAGCTCTCAGCCCAACCTTATAAAATAAGCATTTGTACAATCAACAAATACACAATTAGCAGAGTAGCATGGCTAGGTGAATATTTTACAGATAATATAACTTGAAGAATCATCACAGTGGAAAGAGAAAGTAAATGAAAACGCTCACCTGTCTCCTAGGCTTGCAAAAACACTCCAAAGGGAGGAATTTCCAGAAAGAACCATTCCTCACTGGCAGTCAGCCTTAAATGGGGTCTAAGAGAGTTGCAGCCAGGCTCTACCCCTTCTGGTCACACAGCTGAATTGCCTTCACCTGTGCTCCTGCAGCTGACTCAGTGCTCGCTTCAGGTGATCAATCAGTGGTTCAAGCTGTGATTCAACAGTTCCCATACCGCATTCCATCCCTTGAGTCATTTTTGTGGCCCTCTGCTGGACTCGCTCCAACAGGTCCACATCTCTTCAGTATTGAGGAGTCCACATCTAAATGCAGTACTGCAGGTGAGACCTCACCAGCATAGAGCAAAGGGCAGGATTACCTGCCTTGCCGTGCTGCTTTTGAGGCAGCCCAGGATATGGATGGCTTTCTGGGCTGCTGGAGCACGCTACTGACTCATGTCTGGATGCCATCTGACAGTACCCCTAAATCCTTTCTCTTGATAAAGTACACTCATTTTCAAATAGCATTATAATCGCTTCTAGCAGGCATTACATCACTGTATTCATAGTGTTTCTGAAAAACAGATTCGGAAATCAGATATTCTAACTGTATTTTTCCACATATATGTATCGGAGAACTTGTGAAAAACATGTTTAATATATAGAACTACAGATAAATTCAGAAAGGAGAAGCAACACTCAAAGTAAGGATGTGGCAATCCTAAATAGGATGTAAGCTGGCTTGAAGCACATACCTCCAAAAAGCCATCTGAAAGAAAATTTCTCATTTACCATGCATGTGCAAGTTTCCAAATTCTGCAGGTATTTTATTTTCTCCTTTTCAAATTCCCTTGCAGACGGCATTTTGCTTTGCTTGCTCTGAACTGTGTTGATGTGAGCAGTGAGGTGCTTTTCCCAACCTAAAATGTAAGAATAAGACTGAAGCACAGGCCTCTGCAGAACATGTAGTGAATGCATTCAAAGCACACCAAGCACAAGCTCTTCAAATACTGCTCCCTGAAAATGCCATCAGAGCAGACTTCGTGCTTTTAAGTGGGAGTGGTACATAACTTCAGTTATGGTCCAGTTGCTGGTCTTCTGTGGAAAACGTACTATTGTGCCCTGAGCAGTACTGAGCACAGCACCTGTTTGCCTAAAACTAACACAGAACTCAGAACACAACCAGCCTCAAGACACTCAGCAGAAGGAATGTTATAAAAAAAGCAGGTTCTGCTCCTGAAGGAAGCATAATAGCCTCCAGAGCTGGAAGACAAGAAGATGTGCACTGGTAGTGTGTGGTGCTCATTTCCTTGTTCATGAATGATGATGAATGGGAATGATTCTGGAAGACACACCCAGAGGCCTCTGTTGTATACCCCATGCCTCCAGCCTGAGCAACTCCTCCTTGCTGTCTTTTTGACTTGTCGTATGCAAGCCATCCATCCAGAGGTGCAGAGTGAAAATGACCATGGAGTTCAAGAACAGCCTCATCAGCCCCATACACATTTCAAACCCAGGGCAAAACATCAGAGGCTCAGGCTCACTGCACAGCTCTTCTGAAAACTGCGATGAAGAGCTAGGGGTTCGAGGAAAAACGTGCTGTAATTATCAGTGCAGCTCCATCATCTGTTCTAGGAGCATCGAGGCTTCCTGAAGAAAACATTATCAGAACAGACACAAATTATTCAGTGGGAGGCAGAAGTGCCCCTCTGAATGCTCTGAGTCAGATGCTTATTTTGTGAATTTTTCTGTTTCCCTCTTCCTGTTATGCTTCCTGCAGATACTTGGCACATCCTAGACATGATTCAGCAGTGTATGCTCATGAGATGCAGCCACATCTACAAAGTGCCTCCTCCTTGAGAGGAAAAAAATATTTGTTTTAGAGGGTAAAACCAGAATAGTTAGGATAGTACCTCCTCCTCTGTTGTGGGACAAGAGAAGCTAGGCTCCTGGTAACCTATCTGTCAGCCCTTCATTTCTCTATGCATGCCCTCTCCTCAGAAAAACCTGTGAAGGGAACTTGACTCTGCAGCAGTGGTTTCCACTTAAGTCAGAGCAGA